ACATCAATGTACTTTCATTATCTGACTGAGACTTATTGTTTCTAGGGAAGTAGTACAAACCTGCTGTACAGTTTTCAGCCCCCATTTTTGTGATATCAAGGCACTTTTGGAGTACATAGGTCAGCTTGTCTGCTAAGTTTTGGTTTGAAAATCAAATATGTACAAAAATTTAAATATCTGGGAAGTGTTTTAACACAGGCTGGAAAGTACAACACTGAAAGCATCTTGGAATATGGAAAGTTAAGTAACATATTAAGAAACAGGAAAATTCCATTAGAAATATAGAAAAGCATATGGAAATATTACATAATATCAGTGCTCCTATATGGCAATGAATGCCAAACAATCTTCACACAGATAAAGAAACTTGAGACAACAGAAGTATGGTTCTACATAAGGATGCTGAGAATATGATGAACTGAACATGTGTGTAATGATGAAGTTTTAGAGAAAATGAAAAGAAAAAGGACACTTATACTTAACAACAGAAAGAAACAGTTGAAATTTCTAGGGCACATAATGAGGAAAGAAAGCTTGGAAAATTTAATACTCACAGGACAGATTGAAAGCAAGAATGACAGGGAGAAACAATACATAACCTACTTAGCATGTGTAAATGGATGGCAGAACAGGGTTTAGGGGAGATAACAAAAGACAAAATTTATTAAAGAGATTACAAAGGAGAGGAAACTTTGGAGAGCCATGATCGCCGACATCCTTCAGGGACACGATACATAGAAAATGTCAGAAAATCTAATTGGCTTTAAATCCCTATCCTCCTGGTGTTAGTTAACACCTTTTCCCATATAGATAAAATATAATTTTGGTAAGAGAAAATTTCACTGAATTATGTTGGAAGTTTTCAAAGTGTTCAGCTGAAATCAAGAAAATATGACCTTTAGGCAAAATATTCAAAGTATACAGAAAAAAGAAGTCATCCGTTTAACTCATCTTTGCCTGGTGACAGTTTAAACTTATATCTTCTTCTATATAATAAATGCGAATGTCAATGTATTACTGTGTCACACTTTTTCAACTTTACTCCTAGAGGCCATAGCCTGATATATATCATATCATTTTGGAATCAAGCTGACTCCGTGAGCAAATTGGAAATATTCTGGGCTGGATCTGGATCCACAATCCTGAAATTTTGGATTCCCATGTTTTCATTACTGTGATTGTTTTTGGAGATTTTTTTTTTATGTAATTTTTTTCTGACAAATATATTTGTATGATAGCAGTTTTTATATGGAAATAAATTTTGGAATAATCCAAATTAATTGTGAAATCCAGCGAAAGTCATCCATGAAATACAAATAATTGTTTGTATGGAAAGTAAGGACCGTACATTAAATTGTTTTAAATTAAGTGGTAGCAGAAGAATTATTGTTGAGTTTTTAAAAGGTAAGCTTAAATATTAATGCAATACTTAAATGCAGCAATTTGCAATTTTGAATTTTGTAGTTTATTGTTGCCTATCGCATATACTCCTCCCTACCTATTGTGAGAAAGGCCCAATCAAGAGCCCTCCACAGTAGCTAGCTTAAATATCACATGATAAGATGGCTTTCAAGCTTGTTATACATATTTCTGAACTATAATTTTGCAAAGTAAAAATTTCACTGAAATATGTTGAAAAATGTCCAAGTATTCATCTGAAATCAAGAAAATATGAACTTTAAGCAAAATGGTCAAAATATATAGAAAAAACGTCAGGAGGATATGATAAAAGGCCTTGACCTTTGAAGCCAATTGATGGCTTGCATTTAGAGGCAGACCTGATTCAAAAAATTTTATTGTATAACTACTGACAGAGAATTAGTTTTATTTTTAGATGGTATTTTGTGAGTGTTGATTACAATACAGCAAAACATTTGTCCCTTCCCTTTTATAGGGCTCAAGTCCACAAATGCATGCTGGGATATTTTTCTTAGCCAATAAAAAAGGCCGGTTTACAGTTTGACACGACTCAGTCCAGATCTGCTGAGTCAGGCAGTTTTCTGCCAGGCTCACAGCTGGTTTGTCAAACTACCTTCAATCAGAGAGGAACCCAGACAAGGATATGCCGAAGGGCAGAGTTAAGTCTGGGGATGCAGACAAGTTTGACCCTGTTTATGTGGGATTTTTGCCTAAGTCTACAGGCTTGGAATCATCCCATGTAAAAAACAACCTTATGCCACATCCTGCCTTGTGGGAGGCTAAGGTAAATAGCCTCAGTCCAGATCTTCCTTGTCTAGAAGACATTACTCTACGTTCACCTGTATGAACTTACTTTTGTGTGTCGACACCAATTCTTAGTTTATGAACTTTTTGCCTTGTTACCTGTTAATTGGCCTTGCATATATTGTTTGCTTGCTTGATATTATTTCATTTTTACCTTGTTCCTTTCTATTTTTATTAGAAACTTTGTTAATTCTGTTGGGCAGTTCTGTTCTTTATTTTGCATTTGATCATAGCTACTCACTCAACAGAAAAGAATTCCTGTTAAGACAAAATTGGCAGATTTATTCTTTTTAACAAAATTCACTCGATTTAATAAGACAAGCTTTCCCTTTCAAATCCATGTAAGCTGAATAGAACTGGTTTGTGTCTTTATTATGTAAGACCTGTTTTCTACACAAGATGATATATTGTGACTGATAAATCAAATTTATCAGTTTTTGCTCTTTCAGAAATACATTTTGAATATTTCTTCCTTTTGAGGAATTTAAGTAAAGAAGAAAATATAAATTCCTTAAATTAACTAATTTAAAATTTAATAATAATAAACAATTCTCTTATGGTAATTGCTATGCAAAAACAGCCAAAGCACCAAAAGAAGTTATTGGAGAGTGATTGGCCAAGTGGTCACTCTTTTCATGTAATATACCAGTAATGAGACCTTTCGCCAATTTTTTAAAAAGTTTATAAAAAATACTATTTTATTCATTGCATATAAGTAATGAATAAAATAAAAATATTTTAAGATCTACTATTAAGAAATACCCTAAACATAGTCAATAATTAATCTCTATTATATAAAAAAAAAATTCTGTCCGTCACACACTGCCTGCATGGTGTGATATTGCATGCACATATGTACATATGTGTGTTGTATGTGAGTGGCTTACATGTGCTTGTGCCATTTAATGTATACACAAGCACACACATATATACACACAATTCAGAATGCGGAATAATATGTTCCCTTCCCTCTCAGTCTGGACAAACTTTACCTCGGGCTAAACAAAATTATGTTAAAGACAAAAAAAAAAATCTTTCAAACCGGAAAACGATCAAATATTGAATTTTATTGACATTTTTTTTTTAAATTATTCATTAAAAAATAGAAGTATATTTAAAATTTTCTTTTTTTTAATTTTGTAGAAACATTTTTAGGTGTGTCATTGCTTTAAAATACACATGTGCATGCACACAAACATGCATACATACAAAATTTAAATGCATATCTAAGTTGCATAGGGCTAATTTCTCTGTCTGGCAACAACCCCTGGATAACAGAAAAAAATGTATAAGCCAACATGTGTGGCCCTTTGAAGTCACTTTTCCTGAATTTAAACTGAATTATGGAGTTTTTTAAATGGAAAACAATTTAGATTTGAAATTACATCATCTTCTCAATATTTTGAATATGAAAATTAATTAATAAGCTCAATAAGTATAAATTAATACAAGTTACCAAAAAACATTTTGATTTTGGGATGGTTTTAAATTCTTTTAGGACAGTTCCAGGACAATAGTGAAAAATGTTAGTGTGAGACACTGAACTATATATTACAATGACAGTCAACAGAATATATATATATATATATATATGAGAGAGAGAGAGATAGAAAAAGCCAACACTCAATAATATCAATTAAACATGACCACAATGTGCTGACTATATTTGAAAAATAAATCATCCTATAACTCTATATCCATACATAAAATAATTCATACATTCAGTTAAAAGAAAAAAATAAAATCATCATTGATAATGGCTAAAAGTATAGCCGAAAATGTTTGAATTTTTGGACAATTTCTACATAATTTATATCCAGAAAAAAAAAAAAAAACAAGAAAAATTAAATAAAATAGAGATTACTGACCAAATACACAATTTTTATATATATATATATATATATATATATATATACACACACACACACACACAATAAAACCTCAAATTAATGATCCCAGAAACAAAGGACTCTGTATTTAACTTTAAAACTTTTCAAACTTTATTTAAAGGTATATTGTAACTTAAAAATTATATATATATATACAGTAGCGAGAATAAAGATAAGAATGATGTAAAGAAAAAGTCTAAATATGAAATAACTTTTTATTTTAAAGCTTCATAGAACATTTTATCAAGGAAAAATAAGGATATAAAGGTAAATTATATTTCTAAAATATAAACTTATTTTTTGATAAAGTTATAAGAATAATTATATAACATTAAAAAAAATAGATGATCAAATATATATATATATATATATATACACACACACACTATATATTTACATTTATTTACAAGAATTCGGATTGTACTGCGTGTTTTTAGGCCACAAAAAACGTGTCAAATTAACGGACGATCCTACCTATTACTCCGTTAAATTGAGGTTCCACTATCTCCCTCTCTATAGATAGACAGACACACACACACACACACCTCTTCAAATTTTATCTAAAAGTAAAAGTGAGTTTTTTTTTTTTTTTAATTTGTAATTTCTGGCTTCTACTTTATTCTGTTATCTCATTCTAGCAATATAAGGTATGCAAAAATCAAATATTGAAAGTAAAAATTATAAATTCCACTTTTTATCTAAAGTTTAGAAAAAAAAAGGGGGGATTAAATTATTAGAATATAGGATATAAAAAAAAAAAAAAAAAAAAAAAGAAAATTTTTAATAAATTTATTAGCCATCATGTTTTTCTAATATCTTTTTCTATTTTATCCAATAGAAATTCAATTTGATATTTCATCACTGGTTGACCACGTTTTGTTTTCTTACTCAGTTTTTTATAATTCTCCTGTCGTCTTTCTTTATATTTCTCAAGTGCTTCTTCTCTTTCTCTTTGTTTAGCCAGCAATTCCTAAATAATAAAAATAAACAGAATGAAAGCAAAAAAAATCTTACAGAAAAATTTCTTTATTCAGTTCCAGTTTTTCCCGCTGTACATTTATTTCACCTTGGCAACAAGAAGACATCTTCACTCAAAGAACTAATAAATTCATTGAATATTTCTTTAATTTGATCTTGATTGGATAACTTCTTGATAGGAATGAAGTAGTCTGTGTGAAAAATTAGTAGTATGGAGGAGAGAGGTCAGGTGAATAGCACTTCCCATTATTTATATTTGGACTATTGTCCCCATCTTTGTTGTTTTCAAAAAACATGAGGTTAATAGTTTGAATATAGATAGTATAAATTATTCAGCCATAGTCATTATTTTTGTAAATTAAAGACTAGTAATATCATACAGTAATATTCTCATCCCCATATTCAACTTTTCAATGGATGATTTATGTTTGTGTACTGTTTGGCCATTATGATGCATCAAAACCAATCCTGTCCTACCAAATACGTACCATAACCTTCTAAGTGTTGTAGCAACTGATGTTTTGGCTTCTCAAAATCCAGCCATCATACATATCATCTCCGGTTATCATACAAAATCAATTATTCATCACACATTATATGATGTAGAAATGAATCCATTTCACATCATTGGACAGGATTATTACAAGCCTGATTTTTTTTTTAATCTCTCATTCTATTCAAATTTAAGTTATTAAATTTGTTTTCTTTGTTTGCCCATTGCTTTTAAATGATTTGAAATAGTTCCAATTGATACCTTGAAGTTTGCTACAATTTCTCTGACTGAAGCCTTTGGATCATTTTCTACCAGAGTTTTCAACTTATCATCATTGATTGATGGTTTTGGCTGACCTCTCACCTAGTTTTCTAAATTGAAATCTTCATTTGGAAATTTTTGAAACCAAAATCTCATTGTTCGTTCACTAACAGTATTGCCCCCAAATACAGGATTTATATTCTTTGCAGCTTCAGTTCCATTGTGTCCCATCTTGAACTCATACAAGTATAAAATGTGAAAATCATAGGTTGAAAGCTTTCCATATTTTTGAAAAAGAAATTCAGCCAAAATTAATAGAATGAACCAAAATTCTTAATGAATAATCAACTAATAATATTATTATCATTCTGAGAAATGTTTAAAGCATTGAACTTTTTCTGTTGTTTTACTTGTTACCATGTTTCAGCAGATCCATTCTACAGCCTTCCACAAGTTCACAAAGGTTTTCCTTGATCAACTAAGTGTGAATTGGAGAGCATATTTGATAGTGATTGATTGATTGTTTTTATGGCTTGTCAAACTTTTGCAGGTTATTTAAAGCCAGAAAATATTTTTAGATTGTAGGAATTTACTTTGGAGATAATAATGATTAAGTTCTATTAATCAACCCATAACTGGGGGTGGGGGAAGAAGAGTTGTATTTGTGGGTAAGTGAATATAACAAACCTGACTTGAATTGGAACTCAATTTTGAGCTGTTATCTATTACCCCTGCCCTCACATAAAAGCTTACAGCACCTGGTATTCTCAAAGAGTCACTCATCTTGGTACTGACCAAGCTTGATGTTTGCTTAACTTCTTTGTTCATACAAGAATTGGTGTTTCAACATGATATAGCCATAAGCCAGTATATTTGGGTATAATATGGAATCATTTTTTTTCTTTTTTTTTTGTTCTTTTTCTTTGTTTAGAAAAAGAAAAGGAACACTGACTAACATACAGACTGGTTTAGCTCATTTAAAGGAATAGGAGTTACAAAGACAATACTATTCTCAGCATTTGTGTAACATACTTTCTAATGTCTAATAAATACAAGTGTAGTAGTGGGGGTGTAGAATTTTGTTGCAAATTCTTAAGCTTTGTGTATGTGGAGTAAGGGTTAAGCTGGTACTGACAGCAGCTTCATAAGTTGAGGGGCTTGGTATGAAGTGTAGAAAAACTAGGGGTCATAATAAAAAGTTGACAAAATTGGTAAAAAGAAAATAAAAAATATGGAAGTTGACCACCCTCCCAACTTATTGGGTTTGGGAGAGTATATAATTTGATATACTTGAGGATGCTTCGCAATTCTCCTCCTGCCAAGCAATGAAAACTTTTTTACACTGTTGAATGGATCGATCGAACAAAAGCCGCACAATGAACATGTTCAATAATAATAATAAAAATCAAGTGTTGGAGCTAATAACATTATTTAAAAAATAAAATATCAATTAAAAATATTTAAAAAACAAACTTTAAAATAAAGCTTAAAACAAAAATCAACAATTTCATATTAAAATTTATAATTTTATCAAAATTTTAATTTCCTACTGACTAACCTGAAGCATTTCATGCTGAAAATTAGAACAGAGCAAATTAATCCTCATAAATTAAAAATGTAAAAATTAATTTTTAAATTTGAAGTAGAATTAGTCAATAGATTCTGTAATTATTCAAAAGAAATTATCAGAATCCGGTATACTTCTCTTTTCTTTTGGTTTTCTTTCTTTTTTCTATCAGCTTCTTCCTGTAGCCTTTTGAAAACGTGTTTTTCAGACCTAAAAATAAGAGAAATAGAAAAAAAAGATGATAATTTTAAACAAAGAGAAAAATAGCCAGATGTTAATAGCAACCACAACATTTAAAGGACCTTAACAGCAACTCCAACATTAGAAGACCTTATCAGCAACCCCCAACATTAGAAGACCTTATCAGCAACCCCCATCATGATATTACCGTTACCAGATACAGAACATTCAGATACATCAAATGAGCAGGCAATATTAATTTTTTTTTTTTAAAGATTGGCTATCCAAAATTTTCCAATGTAAAAATGCTAAGTAAGAAAAAAAAAAGGTATGTAAAATATATTCTAAATCTCTGTTAACCAATATGGCTAAAACTTGTCACAACAAAGATTAGAAGTGGATAAAGAGAGATTTCTGTAAGATGTTAGGCAGGGGTCAAAATTAACCATGTCCTGTCATTCTAGAGATGACAGGACATTAGTTTGAGAGGATTTGCCTGGGGTTTTGGAACAATGCCAGGATAATACAAAATCTTTAATGAAAATTTTATATTTATTTCAAAAGCAACTAATTTCTTAAAAAGTAAAACAAAAATTCTTACTTCTAAATAATAAAGGCAGGTTTTTAATAAACAAAACGCAAACATATGCAGATCCTATATAAATCTATATAAATAAATGCAAAAGTCAGTGTCACACTTTTTCAACATTATTACTCTGTAGCCTAACATATCATAACACTTTGAAATCAGGCAGACTCTCTGAGCAAGTTAAAAATATTCCTGGCCAGATCCAGACCTACAATCCTGAAATTTGAGATTCCCAAGTTTTCACTGCTATTGTTTTTGGCGATTTTTTGTGTTAAATTGTTTTGTATGATAACAATACTTGGAAATAAATTTGGTAATAACTGAAATTAATTGCAAAATCTAGTGAAAGTCACCCATGAAATAAAAATAATTGTTTGTATGGAAAGTAAGGACTTATGTACATCAAATTGTCATTAAATTAAGTGCAGCAAAAGAATTATCATTGAATTTTAAAAGGTAAGCTTAAATATTAATGCAATAGCTAAATTCAGTGATCAATTTTGAGTTCTTCTGTAGATATTTTGTTGCCTATCACATACCACAGCAGTGTGCCTCACAAAAAGAAATCTCCACCAACAGAAGACCAAAATGCAATCAAATCAAAAAGAGGCAAGGCTGCAGCAAGGAAAAATCCTATGCAAATGAAAATCCAGATCAAATGGCAGCCAGGAGAGCTTCCAATGATGAGAATATACAAAGACTTAGGGACTCTCAAACTCCTGAACAAGCCAAAGGCCCAATTAAGAGCTCTCTGCAGGATCTAGCTTAATTGCTGCCTGATGTCAGTTTTTAAGCTAGTACAAAATAAATAAAACTCACGTGCTTCTTATTAAGCCTGGGAATGAGACTCAAATGAAAAATGAAGGTTGTAGGACTTAAATTTACATATTTGTTTTATTTATCTCTAAATGTGAAAAACTTTAGGATCTCATTGTAAGAATTATTTAATTTTTAATAAAAAATGCAAGACAGCAAAAGCCACTAAACACAAGGGTTCACTGGGTGTGGAAGAATTAGAAACAGAAAGATCGTTAGTGAGCGAGAACAACAGAAGCGTAATCAGGAGGACAGAAAATAGTGATTGACATTGCATTTAAGTTTTTGAAGATATAATTTGGCTGGAAAGCATGGAGCTGAAAGGCAGTTCCACAAGCGAGAAGTGTGATAGAAGCATAGAATTTACAGTTACATCTAACCAACTCAACTGTAAATTGGTGAAATCTTGTTGTCACTCTAGTACTGCACTTAAATTCAAAGAGTCTAGGCACCAGAGCAAAGAGTTCACCCAAACAATTGCCATGAAAGTATTTATAGAAAAGGCAAAGAGAGGCAACCTTGTGGTGGGAAAGTGACTGAAGCTGAGAAGTCAGATCAGGGTCAATAATATTGCTGATTATTGCTTTAATAAAAAAAAAAAAAAAAATTGTAATTTTCTGTTAATTTTTGGTTAAAACCCTTGAATGAACCATTAACAAACAACAATTCTATGTTATATTTTTGTTTATTATAAATTCAGTAAATATAAAAATATAGAAAAAGACATAAGATAAGGATGTATCTTCTCACTGGACTGATTCAACCTATACAGTGAGATAATTCTGAGAGAATCAGAAGTTCAACCAGTCATTATTGGCAGCCACAATCTTAACATTAGATATGCAGATGATAGTGTTGATAGCAAACATAGGAAAGAAAGCACAGGAAATTCTACAGAATGTAGTAAAGGAAAACAAGAAGAAAGGACTAAGCACTGACTGTAAGAAGACAGGATGTATAGTTGTCAGCAAAAGAAACAACCCAACATGCAAATTACAAATTGGAGATACTATAATCAAGTGAATACAAAAATTTAAATGCAAAATGTGACACTGAAATCTGAAGGTGCATTGATATAGCAAAATATGCCTTCCAAAAGCAAAGCAAAGTATTAAGAAAAAGGAATATTTTATTAGAAACAAAGAAAAGAGTAGTGAACAGTTACGTAATATCAGTCCTCCTATAAGACAGTGTATGCGGGACAATCTCAAGAAGAGAATTGCGGTAACAGAAATGTTATGCTGGGAATACCATGGACTGAATATGGGTAACAATGAAGTTTTAAGGAAAACAAAAAGGACACTTACTTAGCATCAGAAAGAGATAACTGAAATTTCTAGGTCACATAATGAAGAAAAAGAGCTTAAAAGATTTGACACTCACAGGATATATTGAAGGCAAGAGGGAGAGAGGAAAGTAAATATTGAAGGCAAGAGAGAGGAAAGTAAATATTGAAGGCAAGAGGGAGACAGGAAAGAGCAGTGCATAACCTACATAGACCTGTGTAAATGGTTGACTGAACAAAAGAGATATATAAAAAAAAAAAACTCTATTAAGAGTTACAAAGGATAAGAAATTGTAGAGAGCCATGATCGCTCATGTCTTGAAGGGATACAGCACATAGAAGAAATTGAAAACACCAGGGAGATTTTACAAAAAAGTGATAAACACCAAAAAAAAAAAAAAATTCAATTTAATGATGATACAAGGGAGGTAACTGTAAATGAAATTGTTTCGATAAGATTTTTAAAGACTTAAAATAGAATGTGCTAATATTCTTTACTTAGAATATGGATGCATGGAGAAAAATTTTAAAAATAAAGAACGATAAAAGTTACACTGGGAATGAAAATTAAATAACATTTCTGTGTTAAATTATTCAAAGTGATTTTAGTGATATTTTTAAACGAAAATAAAATTTCACTAAAATTTAACTAATTTGTTTTTATATTTGATCACTTTTAAAACTTCATATTTTTTTAATTGTTTTTCATAAGTATATTAATGGTGTGTTTATTATAATAATAAAAATGTTTTAAAAAAATGCATTTTGATCTTGAGATGTTTTACATTTGTTTTTCAGGATGAATAAAATCGTTTTTTCATATGCTTCCAGGACAAAAAAAAAATTTAGACAATTTTTGTCTCCAGTATCTATCTTAAATATCTATAAGTCTACCATTCACCCATGCTTAGAATATTCCTGCCACATATGGTCTGGTGTTCCTGCTATTTATTTAGAGATTCAGCAATATTATTGGTCCTGATCTGGCCTCTCGGCTTCAGTCATTTTCCCATCACTGTAAAGTTGCTTCACTCTGACTTTTCTATAAATACTTTCATGGTAATTGTTTGGATAAGCTTTTCACTACAGTGCCTAGACTCTTTGAATTTAAGAACAGTACTTGATCTATAGGTTCAATTAACAAATCAATTTCACAATTATCTCTATTCCTCAATCTCAAGAGCGCAACTCCTCCTCAGAAACAAGACTCACTTTCAAATGAGTGTGCCATGCTTTTATGCATCTGGCCCAGCCATCGCTCAGCAAATGAGTGCCCAGAACCAGACAATAAAAATGGCTACAAGCGACACTACCACTTCCGTTCACACAAAGTGCTGCCCGATTCACCTTCAGTTTGAAGTTTGCCAATTTGCTGTCTCTAAACTCTATTGCAAAACATGCATGCAACTCTGGCCCTTTTGGGTCACCGAGGTAAGTCTCCGTGACAAAAAATTTTAATGCAATATCAATCATTATCTACTGTCTTCTTGATTACTCTCCTATTGTTCTTGCTCCTTTATAATGTTTTATTATTCTTTCACACACAGTAACCCCTTCTGTCTTAGTAGTTTTATACATGTGGTTTCATGTTGCCATAACTGAATGTAAAATGAGACATTGTCTGTGATCATTTTTGTTTTTAATTATTTAAAAGCAACTAAGATGCAGAGGGTTACTAAGTGCAAAAAGAATATAAAAAAAAAGAAAAACATTATTAAGGAGGAAATAAAATAAAAGAACAAAAATTAAAACAGAAGATAATGATTGACACTGCATTTAAATTTTTGAAGATCAAACTTTACTGGAAGGGTGAGAAACCAGAAGAGAGTTCCACATGCGAGAAGTGCAAGAAAAGAAACTGTCAGCATAGAACATCTGTTACATCTAATCATCTTACAACTGAAATGGCTAGATCTTGCCAACAATCTTGTACTACACTTAAATTCAGAGTCTAGGTATCATAGAGGAAAGTTTATCAGAACAATTACTATCAAAGTATTTATAGTAAAGGTGCAGGGAAGCTATGTTATGGTAATGGGAAGTGATTGAAGCATCTAGATGGAGAATGCATACATACAGAATTAAGCATTTCTAGCTCTGCAAAATTCTGAAATTTCTGTTTTATCTAAATTTGTTTTGTATTAGTTAATTTTCATAGCTATCTAACTGCAATTTAGTGGGAATACATCTGCTTATAAGACCTATACACTGTGAATTTTATTGCATAATTGTTGTTGGCACCCACTCACATCAGGATCACATTCCTCTCTCCATATTCCCTTTCTCTTCCCTGGTGGTGGAAGTGGCTGTGAATCAAAGAGTGTTTGACAAGACCATTTGAATGAATTTGATTTTGGTGGACAACTCTGCGTGACAGAAGACCACACACTTGGCCAGAAGTGTCACTCTTACAGTTCAAATTGCTTGACAAACAAGTTATTACTGAAGGATGGAATTTACACAAGTTTAAGCTGAGATTGCTACAGTAATATCAACATAAAAAGAAGACCCAGAGTCAAACAATTTAAATATATATATATATATATATATATAAATTCAATGAGCCCAACTACATTTTTGTGCAAAGAAAGAAATATTTTGTTGCTTACCTAAGGTTAACTCCTAAGCAGTGACATGAGACCTTGTAAACAAAAACAGTAACCCACCAGGAAGAGGCAAGAAAGTTACTTTGAAAATTATACATTAAAAATATATATATATAAACTTAAAATGACACAAAGAAAATAGAAGAAATTGAAAAAAATTATGTACTTTTTTTGTGTGTTCTGTAATTTTGCGGGGTAAAAATTCTTGTTCTTTTGTTGCTTTGGCTGTGAAGAATTTGATTCTGAAAATATTTTAATTTCCGTTCCAGAAAGCTTTTCAGCTTGTCTTGCTAAATATGCTTGTTTTCGATCCTCTTTCCTTTTTAACTTCTTATATTGGAAACTGATGTGCTCTCTCTGCTTGTTGACAAATCCATGACCTGGAAGGGAAAAAATGCAAATGAGAAATAAAAACAATGCAAATGCACAAGTCCAGTACAAAGGAACTATAATTGTTTTTTTCAACAGGAAAATTAAAACACAGCAAATCATCCTGTAATAATGTGAGATGAAATGGTAGGAAAATGCTTAGCATCATGGAAAATTTATAGACCAAGTTTTAGAAGGATGTCCACAAAAAAAAAAAATATGCTGTCTCAAAATGTTTTTTTTTCTCTTGACACCACAATTAGTCGACTTCCTAAGTAAATTTTATTCTTTTAAAAAGCTATTTTTAGAATTTTAATAAAACCCAAACATATGAAACTGGATTCATACATTTTTTTATTAATAATTGACAACAAAAATATTAAACATTTTTTATTTATTAGATTGTTTATTTACAAGAATAATTTTCTATTTACAAGATTATAAAATTGTGTGAACCAATTCCACTGCAATAATTATTTACAATATAAATTTTATGTATAAATTCTAAAATATGTCTGAACAATAAAATTTAAATAAATGCATAATGACAAGTAGCTATAATAATAAATTTTGAAAAAAAATGCAGGCATTTCTTTCATTTTCTCTCATCACATTAATTCACTAGAAGAGGTTGAGAGCATATGGATATATACACTTTTTTTTCCTCAAAAATTGACAACAAAAATGTTAAAAATACCATTTATTTATTAGAGAATAATTATGAGAATAATTTGGTAAAGTTTAACTCTTTGAGCCTTTCGTTCCTGAACAATTTTAACCCTTCTGCCTGAATTCCTGAGTCAAAATTTGCAAATAATTGGTATGTAATGTTTCATGGTAGATATAAAAATAGTTACAAGTGTTTACCCACCGTTCGACTGGGGTCTGGGTATTACATCATTTTTCTCTACCGCTGTTCAACCGGTGGTTGGGTATTACGTCATTTTTCTCTACCACTGTTCAACTGGTAGCTGGATATTACATCATTTTTCTCTACCGCTGTTCAGCTGGTGACTTTTGTTTGCTTTGCATTTTTCTCTACCACCGGTAAAGCTGTGGTCAGGTCTCAGATGGTTAACAAATGTACCCACAAGATGGTGGGCATATATAGTAATAGTGTCAAGTGAAAAACTATCTTTTTATCTGTGTGTACAATTGTTAAACTTTGTCAATTTACATATCACTGAAGAGTGTTGTTAAGCTTGCTGACTCTGCTGTAGAGTATAAGGCCAAAGCCTCACTATGCTAGGTATTGCTTCTGTGGTTTCTGTAGCAAGTATTATTTTACTAGGAAAAGTTTCTAGCCAAATTTCCAACCAATGTGGGTTCAGAACTGTCCTCCATCTAGACTGGTTACCAACCAAAGTTATCGAACCCAGTTTGCCTAGATGCAGGGAGAAGAGGTGGATTCATATCTTTCAAAGGTATATATATGAAAGCAAATGCAACAGTCTTGGCTGGAATTTGAACTTGATATGCCAATCCCACTAGCCATACTGATAACTGCTACACTATGTGCACACCCACTGAAAATTATTAGGGTATATGTGTGTGTGTGTGCATTCATTTTGCAATAATACGACTGGAAAAGCAAGAATCCACTTCTCACTGATCTGTTCATATCTTGACAAGATCTCTTGTTACTTGCTGCTGCAACTGTTGATGAAGAGAATGGATAATTGAGCACATAGATAAATAAGGTTCATAACTATTATCCAGGCAGTCTTCCTTTCATTCAGGAAAAGTATGATCATGGCTCTCCATAATTTCCTATCCTTTGTGGCACTTAGTAATGTTTGTCTTTTTATTATCTTTCCCAAATTCTTGTTCTGAAATCCATTTACACAAGTTCATTAGGTATGTTGTTCATTCTTTCCTTCAATGCCATGTGAGTGTCAAATTCTCTAAGCCCTCTTTCTTCATTATGTATCCTAGAAATTTCAAGTGTCGCTTTCTGATCATAAGTATCCTTTTCATTCCTATTTTCTAAAAACTTTCTCATGGTTGACATTGTTGGAATTCTTAGCATCCTTCTGTAAAACCATAACTTTTTTGCTCCAAGTCTCTCCATCTTTGAAGAAATTATCCAGCATTTATATAAGAAGATTGATATTATATAAAAAAAGTGGTTACACACAAAATCAACCGTGACAAAAAACAATAAGAGAGGAACATAGCATACATATTTTTTTCAACTTTTGTTTGCTTTGATTGAAAAGTTTATCTTCCAGTTTAGTGAAAATGTTAAGGGCTTCCTAGGATGATTAAAACTGCCTCCTTGACAAATCACTTTGGTTGGCATTATACAAGGAGGAGATTCATTGATTCGGTACTCTATATTTGTGACCATAAGGCAGACATAAAATTTATTTTTTTTTATACAGAGAGCAGTGAACTAAAATATCAAGATGCATTTTTAATAAGTGTATATAACAATTATTTTATTTTTGTGGATATTATTTTTCAGTATTCTTTAGAAAGAAAAACAAAGAAAGCTGAACTTCTGAAACAGTTGTTACAACATAAAAAAATGTTCGGTTATTACCAACTGGTGATGTACAGGTTGAATGCAAGTAAAATTCTGAGTGCTGATTTTCTAGGCTAGTCTTTCCTTTTTTTTTATTGTGACATTATCCAGCCAATACAAGACACAAAAAGAGTCACTTAAAGGTAGAAGAATACTGCATGAAGTTGTAGTAAAAAGGCATAAAAAGTAGGAGATAAAATGTGCACATTATGGATAAAAAATAGATAATGAAGGGAGGAAGGCTTGGAGAATTTGATACCCACAGGACATATCGTGGGTAAAAATTACAAAGAAGTCAGTGAGAGGGATGATAAAGGGACAAACGTTGTTAAGAGCTGCAACGGATAGGAGGTTGTGAAGCGCCATGATCGTCTCCGTCCTGAAGAGACAGAGACGGACCGTCATCAAATTCGCTTCTTAAACTCATACTTTTCAAACTGCAAAAAAAGAGCAATTTCTTGAGTTTCTTTTGCCCTGGAGACTTGCAAAAATATTCTAAAGGTGTAAAAAAAAAAAAAAAAAAAAGCAAATTTCTAAACAAAAAAATAAAATAAAATAAAAATGGATATAAGAAAAAAAGTAGAAAAATGTAAAAAACGAGTCAAAAAGAGAAGCTAACAATCAAAAACGGTAATATTCATGCAGTGAAAGATGGGTCTCTAATAGAAATAAAATTCTTATTATATACCTTCATTTTTGTTTCCAATGAATTTTTTATAGTTTTTTCCTGTTGAATGGTCACGTCTCTTCACCTTAGACATGTTTATTGTTTACAGCTATATATCGATTAATTTTTCCTCCAAAAAGTCAGCAGAGTGACGTTTTAAAGATTAAAATCACCTTTATTAATACTGTCTACGGATTTTAACTAATCAAAACTAAACTGCAGTTGCTGTTCGCTAATTCCTTGAAAATAAAATCCTAATCTCTTCAAGGACAATCATTAAAATTCAGTAACACAAAACTATCAATAATTTATTTCTTAAAACTCACGTGTAGCTTACGAAACCATATTGTTTTTTTTTTTTTGTTCATATATCACTCAAATCTCGTACCAATGAGATTTCCGTCAGCTTACAGAAAAATTAAACAAAAAATAAATAATGGATTTAAATTAATATTATTTCTGATTTAATGACATCTGAATTTATTTACTTGATTAAATTATTAATAAAGTGGGAATAACCTATTTTATTAAGAGTTTAACCAGTTAGTAGTGTTCGTTCCTACATGCAACGGTGATCTTACGCTTAATTAGAGACTAAGAGTTCGTATTCTTACAAATAAATCGTTTTTTCAGCAATGAAAGGTTATTGAAGATTTAAGGAATTATTATTCACAAAATTATATTTTAGTTACTTAATGGATAATTTTTAGTTGGTAATAAATAATTGTTTTAAAAGAGTTACGTTTTAACTAAAAATTAATAGTTAAAATTAAAGCTATTTTTTTACTAAATCTTTATAAATCACTTTTTATTTGATGAATAACAAAATCTTTACTTAAATTTATTAAAAAAAAAAAAAAATAATAATAATGATTTTATGAAAACCAAAAATTATCGTTCTCGCGAGAGCGAGGAACGAGAACGAGATTTTTAATCCAATTATATTACAGTATTGTTGCGAGCCATCTCCGTGAAGGTTAGACATTGTTTGCTTTGGGTCTTCTTAACTGTTTTTGTTTAATATTTTTGTGCTGGGAATCGAATGCCTTTAAAAAACGGTTTTGAATTAAGTCATATTGTCGTAAGTTAATTTTTTCTCTTGAGATTGTTGCGTTTTTATTGACATTTTCTCGGTTCTGTTTCTGCTAGCAGAAGGTAGTCATATTTTATTTTGTAACACTAGAGAGTAATTCATTTTTGTTCTGGCGATATATTTGGCTAGTTCTGTCTATAACGTTTCTTCTGTATTTTTTTAAAAATCTCTTGTAGTTATTCTATACCCAGGCTTGCTTTAAAAATATAAACCTTTCTCTTGGTTTGAATTACCACATCCGAATTTTAAAAAAAAGAAAAAAAGACCGTCAATCCTCTTTCTAGCCATTCTCAGCCTTATTGTAAATATCCCATGGTTAAACTTAAAATGGACAATACGATCTTAACTTAATTTTTCGTTTTCTTTTAGTCGTAGCCAAGGCGGTCCATAACTTTTTTCTTTGTGATATATTTTGTAAAATCTCTAAAAATCAGAATAAAAGTATGTCAAAAGTTGCTCTCTCTTACGCTATCATGGAGAAAATTTATTTGGTTTGGCTGAAAACAAAAAAAAACAAACAAAACAACTGCTTAACAAAAACAATATTGTGTATGATGATAAAATAAAATCCTGTTTAAAAACGTTGGACCAAAATCTTTAATAAAAAATGATTCCAGTTGCAAAATTATAGGCAACTTTAAACGTTTTCTTTTATTGTTGATGCAATCAAACAAATGATTAAATTAATGATTGTTATTGTATGTGAACAGGACCCGTCAGTATTTAAAAAAAAAAAAAAAAAAATTGTTGACCCTGTTTTTTAATAAGCTTTGGATAACTAAAAATAATGGCTTATACTTGCTTTTTGATGATGTCCACCTTTAAAAAAAGTATTCGGAATAATTCTATACTGAACCTACTTCCGAATTTCTGTCTTATTCTGAAAGCAGAGAGATGATAGTAAAATGGGAAAATGTAAAAAGGTCTTTTAGTTTGAAAAAAAAAAAAACTTCTGTCGAAACTGATGTAGCAGTTTACTAAAAAAACAAACAAACAAAACCCTGTTGAGCGACAGAATGTTTCTCATTGTTTTTATTTAAAATTTTTCCTTTTTTTTATCAAACTGCATCTGCAATTAAAACCCATCCATTATTAATTAAATGGAGATGAAACTGCAGAAACAGTTATTAATTTCATTGGAAAAGTTTTCAAATTTTAGAAAATCGTCAGTGTCATATAGAAATGATCCCCCCTGAAAAAAAAAATCAGATTTTGATAAAAATGTTTATAATCTTACAAAAATTTAAAATGAATGAAATCATTAACAAGAGATACGTTTTTTATAGCCATTTTGAACATACATGCAATGGCTTTGTAAATATTTGCTAAGCAGTGGGTTTTAAATTTCTAATTTTGTCATACTTGGTGAATTTATAACAGTTATGTTATGGGGGGGGGGCTACTACTTAAAATTAAATGTTGATGTCAAAGAATACAAGATTAGTCCAGACCATAATTGCTTAAAATGTCGATTTTTTTTTTTTAATAGCAGGCTATATGTTACAATACATTATGAGAAAAAATTGTCCCGTAGAAGGGAGACTAAGTTTTTATATTTTAAAGAACATACACATTTTTTATTTATTTAAGAAATGGATCATGGTAATTTTAAAATTCCACTGATTCTTCTTGTCTTATTACTAAAACTTTTTTTTTTTTTTTTTTTAATAATTTTGCTAGTTTTTCAATGTTGGTTATGTAAACTAAACTAAACACTAAAAATCCTATAGATGTAACAAAGCAAGTTAGTTCATGAGGCTTCTTGCTTCTACTTTCACTCAACAAATGAAATGCCTTGCAAATCAACAGATCCAGGAAAAATATCTGGTTAATTTGCAGTAAGTACTAAAAGCTCCCGGTAACAAGAATGTACCATTCTGGTGTGAAATTGCCTGATTATTTAAAAAATGACATTAAAAAAAAAACTTATTGCTCGATTACTGTTTGTGCTTAGAAGTTATGGACGATGTAAGTTCGACTTCTTTCTCGTCGTGTTGACATTAAATCAAATTTGTTGACAACGATTTGAATGGCTAGCCAGTGATGGTTTATTAACTAAGTGTTGTGACCAAGCAATGGTTTTATCATCGGGAAAAATACAAGGCCTGTAGAAAGCAATATAAAGCATTCGGTAGAATTCTTTGTTTTCGGGTTTCCACATATCATTGCCTCAGTTATTTAGGAATTGGTGGACAATGAATGTGCAAACAATCTGTTGTTATGCAACAGGTACGAGTTGCTTCTTCGGGCACTTGTGAATTGGTACCAATATTTCCCGATTTTCCTAATAATATTGCAATTGAATGTATGTTCTTCATCGACCATCCGATGAAAACTGATGGTTCTGTCAGAGATATCGAAATTGCTTTTCGTGGAGATTTTGCTGATAATTTTTTTTATGAATTTATTTTTGGATTAGCACCTGAATCACGTGCTGTAACATTTAAAAAAAAATGATAATACCAATAATTATAATAATAATTCTGTTTGATGTAAGCGACCGTTGAACTTACAACAAAAACAAAGAGTGTTCAACAATGTAATTAATAGGCAGTTTTTTTTTTTCTTAATTTTAGGGGGATCAATTTACAATGAATTTGCATAGTAAACTGGACCCCCTATTAACGGTTTATACTTTATACATTTTTTTATATATTTTAATTTTTTTATATTCGTGATATGGAATGTTTATAAAAAAATATTGAAAATATATTTTTGTCTGCAGTGCCGAATGTATATACAAAATTTTTAAAATCTATTTAGCAGAGCCACATCCCCCTCCCCCTTAGTTAATTAGGGTTTATCTCAAAATTTGTTATCAAGAAAAGATTTTCTGGCTTTAATAACCCCGGAACGGTTGATAAACCGTAAAAAAAGTAAATTTATTTTTTACATGGGTATTAAAATTATAAATATTTTTGTTTTAAGTTAGTCTCCCCCCTCCCACTGTTTTTTTTTTTTTTTTTTTTTATACAGGAATTGTTTTTTTCTGTTGTTTGACCTAATTTTTATGAAAATGTTTTTGTTTTTCCTTTGAGACTCATCATATTTTTTTTTTTTTTTTTTGTGGATAAATTGAAAGTTTCAAAGCGAAGTGGCTCAAAAGCAGAGGACATCCGATGCCTTTGTGTTTAACTTTTGCTCAACAACGTATGTTTAATTTAAAATGGAAAAATATACCGCTACGCTAAGTGCTTAAAAACTAGTTGATTTTATGTCCGCCTTTGTGCGAATATGTGAGATTATTTCGAAGTACGGATGCCTAAAGAGAAAGAAAGTTTATTTTAATGAGTTTTATCCTGGGATGTGGGCTTTTCGCAATAAACCGAATTGATTTCCTCGTCGAAGAGAACATGCAGCATTAGGCTTTTGTTTGAACCGTTAATTTAAAATTGGACAGGTTCCAGTAAGTATTAAAAATCGAACCCTTCTTAAAAACTAAATAGCTTATTTCCCATAGAAATTTAAGGTCATAAAAAATACACAGATATTTTCCTACAAAACTATACATTTTTAGCCGAATCTTATTCTATAACAGGTAACAAGTTTTTAATGTACCATTCATTCAATTCCCTTTATTGATTTATTTTTTGAATTTATGTTTTCCATCCATCCGTACTTATTTTCGGCGATCGTTTCATTAACTCAGCGATATACTACTTCCGGTAACGTAAACAAAAAGATCGCCATATTGGTCATATTTCTGCTAGCAGATGGTAGTCGTGGTTGTTTTTTAATCATTAACACTAAAATTGATTCATTTTAGTTTTGTCGTTCTGTTTTTATCGCATTCTTGATATCTATTACAGTTATTCATCACCTAAACCAGCTTTCAAAACATAAATCTGTATTTTAAATTAACAGCCTCTAATTTAAACAATAATACAGTCATCCATCCCACTCTTTCGCTAATTTAAGCCTCACTAAACGATCAAAGCCATGAACAGTAATAATTTAATTAAAGAATTTAGTTTTTAAATTTTATTTTCTTACTCTTTTACTCAGTGGTTGATTTATGTTAATGAATTTCTAACCGTCATGTTTTTTTAGTCAGTCACTCTTCGTTACAGTTATATGCCGATTAATAAAGAAACTGAATAATTGATGCAAATAAAAACGATATAGTAATTAATTTTGTGTTAGAAAATCCTAATAAAACACAATTCGAAGTGGTTAAATATTTTTTTTTCGAAGAATTCAAACATCCTGTTAGTAAAGAACTTTAACTGTCGAAATAGAGAAATATGGCAAAGTAAACTACAATTTTGCTGTATTTCTCTTTTATTTGTTACACATAGGTACTATTTTCCTACCTAATGGGATGATTGTTCGCTTTACACAATGTATTGTAAAAACTAAAGCTAATAATCATTTGAAACAAAGCTCGGTGAGGTTCCTTAAACTAGCTAAAAGCTTTAACAATTTGGATAGACAGAGTAAGGGAAAAAAAAAACTCTCATAGTAACTGAAAATATTATTCAAAAGGCAAAATCTCTTGTAGAAATGCTAAATTACCGGTTAAAAAGGCGATATAATATGAAAAACCCTTTTTCCTGGAAGAGACCTCAAGTGTACATCTCGATATTTAAAGGAAAATTGCTAAAATTGTGTTTCATACAGATTGTCTTTATTGAAAGCCAAAGATCATAGAAGCAGCCAAAAACTCAATTCATTACCTTCAAATTTTCTTCTCACCAATCAGTTAAGCTGCACAGCTGATTTTCAAGATTGATCAAAATTATTTGAAAACAATAAAAAAAATGAAATTCAATTTTTTTAAAAATGATTATTTCTCAAGTTGAGATTTTTTCTTTTTTAAACTTAATTTAATCATTATCCTACTGTACTTTTTTTTCTTTTTGCTTGAAAAATTTGTCAATCTATCATAGGGACCCAATTGGAGAGAGAATGGGAATGTTGACTGTAAATAATTTTATAATTACCTATTCATAAATCCTTTTATGTCCTAAATTTAATTTTATCTGCCACTGCTGGACTTTTTTCACATTTAATAACTGATAAAAAGGAGAAATTTAATGATAAAAGAAATAAACCTCACAGATCATTCTTGAGTCTTTCAGTATTCACCCTGATCAATCTTATTTGAAAAATTATGGAAAGAAATGAAGATTTAATATTTTTTTGTTTATTCCAAATATTCTGACAAAGATGATAAAAGGAAAACAATCAAAAGGGGGAAAAATGAATTCTCTTTTGGGAAAACTGAGAAGTATCAAAAAAAAAAAAAATCTTCTGAAGAATGGAATTTCCAAAAAAAAGCCAATCCAATATCTCCAACTTGTAGAAAGAAACAAAATTTTTAATAAAAAGTAAATTCTGTGAAGTTTGGAATTTTATATATATTGTGTGTGTCCACCAGACAATACCATCAATAAGAACATTACTTTAGTCTGAAGTCCTTTTAGAGAATGAAATGTGTTACACAGGATCTTTCCACTTTCTCATTCAACTAGTATGCATCAATAAGTAACTAACATGACTGTTCTCGTGTCATACAGTCTTATTAAAATCTTTCTGTCCAAGTTAGGGCTTTTTATTATAAAGCTTTTGTGTATATTTATTTGAACTTTTTTTTTATCAATATTGTTCTTGGATTTAAAGCATTGATGTGATGAAATAAAATAGGTGAAATTTAAATCCATGAACCAGTAATTATATATATATATATATATATATATATATTATTTTTTGTTATTCTCACTTCAGTTTGCTAATATTGTCATTTTGTACATTTAACAACTTAGTAAGGGAAGGAAACATTAAAATTCCTCATAGTAAATGACAAAAGTTAAAAAAAAGTCTTTTTGGAAAAAAGAAAAGGCTGTTACAAAATTATGTGAAAACTTTTACTCTTCGATTGCAGGGCATTTTTATTTTTATGGCTACATAAATTCTTTCAGAATTCTTACAAACTTTAAACTTAATAAAAACAAACAACAAATGTCTTTTAATTAATTTGATTTATTAAGTAATGAACACTTGAAGTCTTTAATTTAGATATATGGTTTTATGTTTTGAATGCAAGTTTTTCACCTTAAGGAATAATATGCTTTTAAGTGTTGATAAAATGAACTGGTTGTTGTTACTATTACATTGTTTCATTTAACAGCTAAATGCTACTATTCTCCTTTGCATCATGACATTTATGTTGTTACGTGAGAGTCAGGTTTGACAGTAGTAGATCAAAATAGGAAGTCTTTAAAGTCCAATCTTATATACATTTACTGAAAGATCTAATATCTTCCAGTATGAAAAGGCAGTTCTATAATATCCTGAATATTGCTCTCAATCTGTGAAAAAAAAAAAAGAAGCTGTTTGCAAAGACTGAATATTGTGTACATGACATGCTGATTTGTAGGAACGTTTTTGCTGTTGAAAGTCTATTAAGAATTAAGAGAATCATTTTTTTATATACCTGTGAATCCAAGAGGAGTTGCAGTGTGTAGTCATAATGATGGAAAAAATTGTAGCTAAGAGAAGGTACACAGATCAATACCTGATCAGTATCGGCTGGGACACCGTGGAGATGGGGTATGATGTTGAAAGACCCGAAGCTCTTAATGAACCTCAGCTAGAAACATCACTGATGATGTGTGCCAAAGCATCTAATAGATGTATTTTATGAAATTAGATGGTTTTTATTGTAATAACTGAATGTGGGTTGTTGGGGGAATGTACTTCTAAAAATTTGGTGTTTGAGCAAATTTTGGGTAATGATTTTAATGTAAATAATTTTCTCATAACAAATACTGAATTACTTCTTTAACTCACTACATATTTTGAATCCACTTTCGGATTTGAAAGTTATACATCAGAAATAAAATGAAAAATAACATCTGAAAAAAGTAATATAATTTATTTCAACTATATTATAACAATGTTTAAAAAATTTGTATATAATTAAATTATTCTATAAGTTTGTTTAATCTATCTCTGGTACATTTTCAAATTCTAAAAGTTTGCTCAGGATATGAAGCAAGAAATGTAAAGGAAATAATTCAGTGTTGAGCATTAAAATCAACAGTAGCCCTTAATTAGTTGAACATCTTCCTTCTGTAATTCTAACCAGACCATTGACTCAAGTATTTATAAAATCTTGTGTAAAATGTCAATGAAGATCTTATTTCCCATCTATTTGTGTTTTTAATGGTAAAATAACCAGCTTAAAAACAGTAAACAGTTTCTTGGTCATACCTCTGTAAGCAAGTTGTTGTGCTTGTCTTGACAGTTTTGGGGAACTTGTCTATTCAAATCACTGATACTCTAGTTTAAGATCGATACCTTTTCTGTTTGGTCAAATTTCTTTAAACAGATTGACATCTGAAATATGCTAGTGTTTAAGTTGACCATAAAACTTTCTTCTCAGCCAGATAGAAGCAACTATTTTCTAGCATTTTGTTTTGTGTGAGTTTTAAGTTGACTTAAGAATTGTTTTCTGTTGCTCTTAAAGGGATCAATCTTATATTTTAATATGAAATGTTCCATATTCCTGATACAAGTCTTGTCAATTATAATTTGTGAAATCATCCTGTTTTTAATGTTTTTAGCAACTTATACGTATTAGAAAGTAGCATTTTTCCTCCATGATTGTGTCATCATTTGTTTATAATTCCTGACTCTGGTTTTAAACTCATTGTCAGACGTTACTTGCTTCATTTCTGCTTTAGTTTTGTTTTTTTCTAAGGCTCCATTTATGTCAATATGTTACTTTACAAATTTGTCAGGTAATCTGATGTTCAGTGTCACCTGTTTTAATCTTATTCCACATTCATATTGGCAGATGTTTTACCTCACATCTATAAACACTGATTATTAGAAATGGCATTTTTTAATTGTTTGTACTCAAAACATAAAATATCAATTTGAAGAAAAAAAACATCTGTCATAAAAAGGAAAATAAAATTTTGTTTATAATCTTAGTTTCTGTGTGGATTATGAGTATAGATGGAATCACCAGGATTTATTTTTCTTTTCATTCACCTAGCTTCTTGTCTACTGTTAGTTTATCTTGCTTGATTCAGGCTTATATAATTTTATCACTTTCTTTCTTTTCTGATCATTTTCTGCATTTTAGGGTTTTATCTTTTGTCTGGCATTAGAAATCCCAGTCTTTGAAATAATTATTATTGAGAGGAGATTGCAGTCAAATTCTTGATAAACAGCTTATGTTTTGATCTTTCATTCACATGTTTAATCTTGTTTATTTTTTGCAATTTTTATAGCTAGGCTGAGTATTGGTTTGATTTTTACATTAGGTCTGAGAAGAATACATTCTCATCTATTTTCTTTAGCAAGAATTTAATTTTTTTCTCAAAAATTTGTTTTAGTCCTCAAGATTGGAGAAATAATCATATTGTCTGTTTATTAAAAATTTGACCCAAATTTCTTCTCATTTTGTATGGATTTTTTATGTTTTTTTTTTTTTTTAATGTAATTTTTTTTTTTTTTTTTTTTTTTTTTTTTATAATAATCTATGTAAAATATCCATTTGGGTATTTTCATAAAAGCCATTTTGTGTGTATGTATGTGTGTGTGTATATGTGCATATATATCTATGTATTTTTCCATATTTGCAATTAAAATACTTAGGCATTTTTTTAAGTAGTTATGGTCCCAAATTAGAAACAACCTCATAAGTGCCATTTTATTTTTTTTCATGTCATTAAGGATAGAATTTGAACTAAGTTCTCATTTATTCGTTATCAGATTTAAGTCTAGTAATTACAAAACTTCAATGTAATGACTATTTTGGAAGAATAAAATCTCTTGCTACCTACTACAATTTCATAATTATTTATTTACTCTTGTTAGACAATTAGTGTGGGAAGGGCAATATTTCACTTGATATGAAACGTTTTTTATTCAGTTATTGATAATAAAGCCACTCTCTTTCATTTGTCAGTTTTTTTTAAATCTTGTTATAATTCCCAAATATTTGTCAGTTTTTGACACAAATTTTCAGATGATGAATGAAGCTTTATCTTTTTTGTTGCTTGCCATCAGATATTCATTTCTTTTCCAAGTTGGAAAGATGACATTTGGAAGTCTGAAAACCCCCAATGATACCGAGAATAAATATAACTGCTGAAATTTCCTGGTGCACTGCAAGAGTGTTTGAGATATTAGCACACTTGTGTAAAATCTGTTTAAATTCTCATAAATATTAAAATTTATTTGTTTATGGAGAAATGAATTTTGTTACTTTGGACTATGAAAACTAATTGAATTTGTTTTGATAAAGCTACATTTGAAAATTAGTAAACTGACTTGATGATCAATATTTATGATTGGAAAAAATACTGATCATGAAAGATATATTAAAAAAAATAACTAATTTCTGCTCTTACATATTTTATTATCTTTTAAAATTAGTTGTACTTTTTTTTCTTTGCAAGTTTTTTTTAAATAGATTGAATCATCTTTATTTACTGAGATAATTTCATAATTTGGAGTTGTACATAATGAGGCAGCCTAAATTCCTCTGACATAAATTTTTTTCTGCATCTTATATAACATTCTCATTCACAAAACTTGCAAATAATTTATCCATGCTTCAATCCTTCTTTAATTTAAGTCCTGCATAGAATGTAGCTATTTTCCAGGGTTTTCATGTGTGTATGTTGGAGAATGATTTAAATCCACTTTGACCAACTTGTAGTTTTAGTTACAAGAGGGGACATTTGATACTTTTAATTGGCATGTAGACTCGTTTAAATTGTGGACACTATTCTTGTCTTCTCATTTAAGTTAATGATACATATAATTCTAAAAGGTAAAACTCTAGGATTTCTTCTCTTAGTAGATAATGATAGTAATTGAATACAGACCACCAAAGTGATGGCAGTGCCACAGATTATTATTGCATTGGTGTATTTAAAGGTTCTTCATAAAATTGATAAACATGATATTAAAAAAATGTAGTTAATATTTTGGATTAACTTATTCCTATAATAATCACAAATATATATGAAAACATTTTGGTATATATATATATATATATATATATATATATATATATATATGCAATGTGTGTATATTGTTTTAACATGTACATTTGATAATATTGATTGTTATTGAATAAATTCCTGATGAAGGTTAGTGAGGGTTTTTTTGAGTTTTTTTTAATCTGATATTCTTTCTCACCCATTATTTACTTTATTTTGTAACAGTTTCTTATTTCATAAAAGCTATTTTTTTTTCCCTTTTCTTTTTATAAAATGCCAACCACATTAAAGCTGAATTCATCAGGTAGTGACACGGTTTAAATTGCCAAATGATATTTTAATGTTCCTATAATCCACTTTTGCTTTTTGTCTATTTGCTGTCAAACCCACTTAATCACCTGAGTACATATCCAACTTGCATTATTGATCATTCAACCTCAATATAGTTGCACTTAGATTTTTTTCATGACAACCAATGTAAGCATATAAAGTATTTTAGTACAATTTTGCCACTATGCAATTTCTGCATACAGTTGGATTAACTTTCAGGCTCAACCAGTGTTGTCATCAGGATTGTATTTTATACCCATTTTACTTTTGATAACCATGTTTCTCTTTAAATGATTTTTATGCTTTTTCAGGTGTTTATTTTTATATTAATTTGCTTTTGTAGATTTTTATTTCTTTCTTTATCATTTAAATAATATTAAATGTACTTCTGAAGTAATTTGCTACCAATGAATTTTGATATGTTTTTTGTCTAACATTTCTTAGCAGATACTCTTTTGCACTGGTAGGTTGGCATTATTCAGTTTCTTTGCTTATTGCTTTTTTTTTTTTTTTTAAAGTTTTACATTTTAATGTTGTATAAATATCATTAATTACTATTCTTAATCGGTTTGTCTTGTGATATTAAAAAAAGTATACATTTTAACTTTTGAATTCCATCTCAGATATGTATCTGGAGGTTGTTTTTGTTTTCTTTTATCATGAACTAAGACAAAAATACCACTATAAAATGTATCTTTGAGGATTGGTCTGTTTGTATTGCTCTTGTTAATTGAGATAGGTTGGAGGATTGGCTTTATTTCTTTATTCATGCTGGGTTATGTCCTTGGGATAAGTGGAATCACTAGAGAAAACTCCTTCAACACACAATCCCTGGTTTCTGTTAGCCTTTTTTGGTTGTCTTTGTAAATTAACTAAACTACCATATCTTTCTACACAATTTTGAATTATTTACAAACAAACTTAAACCATTTCCTATTGGATTTAATATTCACTACCTTGACACATTGATACTGTATACAGCTAAATCAAAACAAATCAAGTTAAATATTTTATTTGTAGATATCTTCTGATCTGTCTTGTTTAAGAAAAAAAAAACAGCTTTGTAATTTAGTTATCTTTTTTTTTTCTTTTAATTTAAATAAGTTTATTTAAATTTAGGTGGGGACCAAGAAGACTATAATTTGAATTTATAACAATTAATACTAGTGGGTGCTAAGATCTTAGTTTTTATATTATTCTATTATAATATTTAGCTTATCTTTAGTAAAAAGGGAAGGAAATTAGTTATTTGGGGAAAGGAGAGTGAATTTGCATGGCTTTTCTGGAAAAAATAAAACAACACTTTCCTGTAATTTAAAAAGAAAAAAAAATCCAATAAACATCCACTTTGTGCTTAAGTGTGACTCAAAGCATGAAACCTCTTAAAATGATGGTGCAGTTCTCGCTCTAGTGCATCATGTAAATAAAGGTAAGTATTTAAAAATATTTTTTTTTTTACTCATCTCACATTGGAAAAAGATTACAATTTGGATATTTGATTAAATTCTGTTTTCCTCAAATAATTTGATTTATAATGAATGCTTGCTTTACAAATTAAACATAGAACTTTTGAGAAAATGCCCTTTTTTTTTTTATTGTTCCACAATAAAAATAAGCTAACTTTCACCAAATATTTTTCAGTTTCACAAATTTTTTATAGGCTTAACATATTTTATAGTGAGAATTTTTTTTCTTATTATATATAGTAAAATTTTAGTTTTTAAATATTCTAAAGTTACAAAATAGTTAAAATTCTTCAGTTAAATTTTCCTTTTTTATTTAACTTAAAATATTTTAAAAGATGCTATTCTTTAAAGCTCTATATTTTTCTTTCAGGTGTCTTTTGGAAGTAATATTTTTCCAATTCCTTTGATTGGACCCCCTGCCCCACCACTCATCAGACATTCCTTATTTTAAAAGAAAAAAAAAAAAAAGATGGCAAAATTACATAGCCCCAAAAGAAAAAAAAAAAAAGAAAAAAAAAGACATTGAATTTTCTCTCCATTTCACTACTTTTAGTGGAGAATCATAAAGACTTTAACACACGTGCACACATGTCAAACAAAAAAAAAAAGGGAAAATTCCTGTCAGTTGCATTTTCCAATCCTTTTCTTCACAGAAGCTTATTCATCAAGATGAGCCAATTTGGAGATGACTGCTACTTCTACTATTACTCATCCTGTACGAAGGTAAACATTTTTTTCTTTTTATTAGCTTGTTCAGTGTAAAATCTATTGAAATGAACTGAATAATTTCCAGTCTTTGTGGCCATAATTACTTTTATTTCATATTAATTTGAAGTTTAGTATCTTGTATATAGAATCTTCAAAATGCATATTGAAAATTACTTTGCATTACATCAAATTTGGTATTTTCATAGCTTTTTTTTTTTTTTAAAAAGTAAGATAATATCAGAAACGGTTTGTATGCATAAGAATCAACAATGAGTTAAGGCATTGTTTAGACATTAATGCAGAGATGAAATACAGTTAATTATGTGAATTAAAAATGGCCATTTACTATGCAGTTAGATTATAAATGAGATAAAGCATTTGATCAAAATCTGTTTGTAAATTATAAAATAAATAATAGTTTTAATGCATTCTATCTCACCTCAAATTGAAAACTTGTTTAAATAGGTATTTATGAACATTTATTCTAACAACCGTTTCTCAGTGTCAGTCACTTTTTTTTTTGTTTTTGTTTATTTTGTTTTTGTTTATTTTGTTTTACAGAATTGAATGTTATTTACAGAACTATTTTTATTTAAAAAAAAAAAAAAAAAGCATTTGTTTTTATCTTGGCTTGTCAGTATCTTATTTTAAATCAAAACCGTAAAAGAACATTTCTTTATTTTTAAGTTAAAAATTGGGTACTTTTGAAAATTTATGATTTGTACATTTCTTTATTTTTCCCTTTTTAATTTATTTTTTTTTTTTCCCCCACTCCCAAACTCTATAGGGAGAGAGTTGTACCTACAGACATTGCACAGAGGCTTTAGGAAATGAGACAGTCTGTACCAACTGGAGAAAAGGAAAGTGCTATCGAAGTGGATGTATGTTTCGTCACATGGAAATAAAGGTAAGCTGCCTTTTATAATATTTTTCTTGTACACTTTAAACCTAATTGTACAAATCTTTTTTTTTTTTTTTTTCTATAATGGACGCGAAATTTGTTGTTTTGGTTAGATATTTTATTCCTTGATTTTTGCTTTAGAAAATTCTAATTTGTAAACTTAAATACATGATAATGTAAAATTGAATATGATTTAGTGTGGGATAAAGTGATTTTGACATATCGGTATTAGGTTTTTTTATTTTTTATTTTTTTTCTTTTAAACTTAAATATGTAATTTTATTTTTCAGATTGACCGAAGTCAGATTCCTTGTTATTGGGAAAGTCAACCATCTGGCTGTACCAAACCCCATTGTGTTTTTAAACATTATTTACCTCGTGATGATTTTGGAACAATTTCATCTTCCAAAGGTTATTTGTTTTTTTTGTTTTTTCGGGGGATTTTTTTAACTAATAATTTTGTTTATTGTATACAAAGTATTTATATTTTTATCAAAATATAGATATTTAATGTATTTCATGACTTGTGCCAAGTTTAAAGAAAATTACTTGCTTGTACTTGAAATATGGTTGATATTTCTTTTTGAATTTTATCTTTTTTTTTTTTTTTTTTCCCCTTGCTTAAATGTTATAGGTAAGCTGGTTATGTGGGTGATTTCATAATAAATAAAAGTAAAAGAAGGCCACCTTGTTAAAAAAAAATAAATAAATAAATAAATCCAGAAATCTGGCTATAGAATTTTTATAGAATATTTAAGTTATATTTATTAATTATTTTTGTACCTTTCAGATTCTTCAAAAGTTGCTATAAAATCTAATCAGTCAAGCCCTGACAAAATAGTCCCACAGAAAGTAGAACCAGTGGTTGTAAATCCTCTTGAAGGTAAGTTTGCAGAAATTTTTAAGCTCTTAATTGTTTTGTTAGTAACAAGTATTAATTTTTCACAAGTCTATATTTCATTGGAGTACCTACTTGTGCAGCAAGTTCAGTTTCCACCAGGTGCTCCTACCTTGAGGGCCTGTACTAGACTTAGCATTTTCAGTTTGTTTGTTAGATAAGATAGTTATTAAAAGACTATATTTTTTAAATGTTGATTTTTTTTTTCTCTGTTGGGTAAACAGTAGCAACATAATCTTTTTACTCACCTGTTCAACCTTGTGCCAGACCAAATTAAATTCACGTAGTTCATTGTAAAACACTAAAGCTAAATTGCTTTCTTGACTTTTTTTTATTTTTAAATTGCATTGTCTCCGTCTAAATCAGTTTCTCAATCTTTTTGAACATCATCACACCTAGGAGCAAATGAAATATCAGAAAACTTGGCAAAATTTTTAAATGATATACATTTAAATATTATGAAATAAAAACCATAGATTTAAAAAAAAAATTTAAAAAATACACACAAAAATATGGACTTACTTTATTGCAATGTTTATAATCAACTATTTGTGCAGCTTATTTACTAAAATACTAACGCTGCAGCTTATTTAGTAAAATACTAACGCTGTACCATTACTTTCATACACGCACATATATGTATCCCCTGACAATATTTCATGACACACTAGTTTGCCACAGCACAGTGACTGAGAACCACTGGTCTATGTGATAGAATTTTTTCCTTGCAAAAAAAAAAAAATGTCTTCAGTTTCACTGATTTTCATGAAAAAAAAAAAAAATTTTTTTTTAAACAATTTGGATTTTTTTAAAATCATCTGTTTGCATTCTTTGAAAAAAAAATTCTTTTATTTTCAGAGTCAGACCAAGAAAGTATTTGCAGTCCACAAATAAAGAAATCTTCTCCACAAGAGAAACCTGTTGAGGAACGGCCCAAAGTAAATGCTCTTCGAAGATTAGGACCTCGAAGAAGTGAGTTTTTTTATTTTTACATTTGACATGGGTAGAGTCTGCAGATATGACACAGTTCGATTTGAAATGTTCAGTTTAGGGAGAAAGGATTAAGTCTGTTGGCAAGGTAGAACACTATCTTGGACATAAGTATTTGTGCAAAATAAATATTATTTACCATTATCAAGGCTACATGTTTATTGATAAACCTACATATAGCTAACAGAATATTATTCCAAGTGTGAGAAGTTACCCCATCTAGTCTGATTTATTAACGTTTGTTTATTTGTTTTTTTTTTTTTTTTTTTTGTCATAAATGTTTATCTTTCACTTTATAATTTGCATTGGTCTTTTATAGAATTGCACTTTTTATATTTACAGTAAAAAAAAAAAAAAATATTAAAAAATTGAATTTTACTTGAATTTATTTACCTGTGATGTTGTCACAATTTTCTTTTTTTCATAGTCAAACTTGTAAAATAGCCATTTTTGTTTTCTTTATAGTTGAGGAAAATTTTGCAAAAAGTTCTGATGATCTTGGAATTAAGTCTTTGGAACAAATTAAAAAAGAGAAAGATAATTCTAATTCAGAATTCACACCACGAGCAACTGAAGGTGAATATTTATTTCCTCACATCAATATTTTTTTGATAATTTATAGAGAAATGTTTTTTTTTTTTTTTTTTACACCTCAGATTTTACAACTTGTTCACTATTGCAAGACTTTGATAGAGAAAGATGAAACAAAATTTTCAACTCTGTCTAATTATCTATACTTTATGGTCAGTTTTTTTTTTTTTTTTTGCCCATATTCAATTACAATTTTAAAAAAATTATGGTCTTAATTTTAAACTACAATTCTCATTTAATTTGATACTTCAATCCCTTTTTAAAATATGTTGTACATTTCAGCTTTGGTTTTTTAAATAAATATATATATATATATATATATATATATATCTCTCAACCTTTTCCAGAGGTTGACATTTTTGGATATTTTTTGTACATTTGACTAACTTTCTTTATTTCAGAGAGGCTCAGACAAATTATTTCTCAAAAGAAGAACCTAGTCAATCCGAAGACTAAAGTTGATGAAAACAGTAAGCATTTTAAATCATGTTTGTTAACCAGTTTGAGTAGAAAAAAATCATTTATAATCAATCCATTTATTCTTTTGTCAAAAAAAGGACGTTTTGTATTTTCCTTCATAATGGTGCCACTGATAATTAAGACATTTTTTTTTTCCTTTCAGTTCCAGTGTCCCTAGATGATGTCATTATGGCCAAAATACAAGCAGAAAATATTAAGGAGCAAGCCAGCAAGGATGGTGTACCCACAGGTAAATATCATGACAGAAGTTATATACAATACCATAAAAATTTAAAGTCTTATTTACATTTGGAAATACTTTTGTGAAATTTGTCAAAAAGTAGGCAGTTCAAATATTACTTGTGTTCTACAATGCAGGTGAAATAACAAAAATGTATAAAAGTCAAAAGTATTTATATGCTGTACATCTTCATTCTTTTTAAAGTTAAAAATTAGCTTGTGTGCATGAGTATTGAAAATGTAATATTTCTCATCCTTGCATAAGAACATATTGTTTTTAGGACAATTATGAACTTGTTCTCTGTTCATATTACATTAACGTTCAATACAAAGTGCAAAATTTAAAGAATAGTTGAGAGTAGCAGAATTTGAGGTGATATCCCAAAATTATTGCTCGTAATAGTATTAATTTTCTTTATAGAGCTGAAAGAATAATGAAAAAAATAGATAAAAACATTTTGGAGGTAACTTTTTAGTTTTTTAACAAAATCCTAACCCAAAGCACATTTTAAAATTAGTATCAAGCTAGCCAGATTAAAAGAAAACAAAAATTTTGGAGTGGCTGTCACAGGATGCTGACCATAACCTCATAGAAACATGTGAGGAGTTGTTGTGCACTGCATTAACTTTTGCTAGGAAGAATGGTAAAAAATAACTGAATTTTGAAAAGAAAAAATTAAACATGCATTTGGTCATGGCACCAAATATACACCTGAAATTGAATGCAGTGCTAAATATTACTTATTGTCACTGGCACCAACTATCAAGTGAGTTGTAGTATTTTTCGTTCATTCGTTTGATATTTTCAGCTGTCGCAGGTCCTTGGATATGGTCATCTAGTCTCTTGTTGTGTACCTGCTGGGTTGTAATTATTGATGCAGTCTACTGTACATTCCTGCAGGCTGTGGTTTTAACTGGATCCTTTCTTGAAAGGCAAAAGGATTATAAATAGAAAAAAAAGGTTATGTAAAAGTCGTCAGAAATTTAATAACATAAGCTGTCAAAAGGTTACTGTCACTCTTGGTTGATTTTTCTGCTGAGATCTTGAGGTATTGAGAAAGAAGTATTGTGTGTTGGAGTTTTTCATTTTGAGGAGAGAAAAATTGAAAGATAATGAAATGAAGTTCTCTGGCATGAATTATGGAAACTTTCTGCACATATTCCTGGTGTGAACTGACTAAACAACTGTGTGCTTTGACTTGTATAGATATTTATCTGGGGGGGAATGACATTGATGGATATTATCTCCAAACAAAGAACTTCCTATTAACAATACATATAACTATATTTCTAAAGTACTTACAACCGGATATGAGGAATATTCATTTAACTTGAAACGTGTGTTCTGCATTTTTTTTTTTTAATCTGCATGAATGAATACAAGCTTCTAATAATAACTGATATGCATTTCAGTTCCATTTTGAAGAAGAAATGTTTTCATTTTGATAATAATCTTATTTCCCCCTATAATATTTAAAACTTTTTTGTTTTTTACTGAATAATACTGTAAGGTTTTCATTAACAAACTGCATTGCAAATCTTAGTATCAAAGCAGAGGGAATAGTGTAATGAATGCCAAATTTATGATCATGATTTATTGTTTACATTGTTTTGAATTACACAAAATTATTATTTAGAGATTAAGAAAAGCTTAATTTTTATAGGGTGTGATGCAAGATGCTTACTTGTTGTTTTGTTTCATGCCTTGAAAATATGGTTTCATTTAATAACTGAATATATGTGGGGGTGGTGCTGAAAAATCATTGATATAACCTAGTCCTGAAAAATAACTGAATGTCTGAATATTTTTTTTTTTAATTTCTTCTTGCTCAGGTTGAGAACTTCTCACTACTTCCATGTTGTATTTTCATTAATGTTTTCTCATTGTTTTTTTTTTTTTTTTTTTCCTTCAGCTTTGAAAAGAAAATTGCCAGAAGACAAATGTAAGTAATTTTAAGGAAACTATGATTCTTTGTTTTTCTTTATGGCAATAAATTTTGTATGTTTCAAAATTCTTCTTGTGTGCTTTTTCATAGATTTACATAATTGTTTATTTTAGGTGATAAACCAATTCGTAAAGTAGTTAAATGTGATAATGTGAAAAAAGTTGCCCCTTTGGCAGCAACTACTAAACAGGTGATAACAAATACAAGTGATCCTCTTGTGGTGAAACGGAAACCTATCCAATATTCTAGTGATGATGAAAATGATAACAGCAGTACTGGATCCATGAGTTCAGAAGGTAAGCCTTATTTTATGTAGGGATTTGTTCAATATTTCAGAAATAAATTGATATTAAAATTTGAGTCAAAGTTTCTCTGAGTATTCACTATAAGATAACGATTATACTATTTATTTCTTTTGATTAAGCATTTTTTTTTTTTTTTTTAGTCTGTTATAAGCAATGTCCAGTTATAAATTCAGTATATGTATTTTTACTTGTGTCAACAAATTATTTAGAGATTTTGTTGTAAGTTACCTTGTTTAACTGCAATTCATATTTTTGTGTAAAGTAGGGGTTATAGACAGGGAAGTGGCAATCTTTCCAATTTTACTAAAAATCTTTGAAACTTGTCAAAATAGCTTTTGGGTGTGGATGTACAATTTTGCTATTTAAATGAAGCTTTGTAAAGAAACCTTGCTTTATATGCGTTCATGGATACAAGAACATCTTTTTTAAAAGATTAATGATAATTAAAGAAAATAAAAAAAATATTTATTAATCTGTTGGGCTTCTAAAATTAGAAAAAAAAATCTAATATATTCTTAAACACACCTTTTCAGATTCAGAATTGAACTTCAAAGTGAAGACTTTAAATGAAATTCGAGCTGAAAAAAAGCGAAAATCAGGCTTCACAGAGAAAGGTTTGTATATTCTTGGATTAATTTTTAAAATATGCAAAAATATTCTTGCTATTTTTCTTCCTGCTTAAATGCAATGATTTTTCTACTTTCTAATCTTGTATTTGTTAGAATTTCTTTTGCAATTCTTATTAAAATTATCTGCTACTATTGAGACAGATTACTTAAATGATAAAATTACATTTCAAATAACATTTATTTAACCCCAAAAGGTTGTATTGTAATGTCCGGAATCTGGATAGCAGTATGTGAATTGTATTTGGATAATGTTGTTTTTTTTTTTTTTTTTTTCAGAATCAAGCTCAGGATCTGTACCAAAAAGGGAATCTATTGCAAAACCAAGAATATCTGAACAAAAAAGGGAATCTATTGCAAAACCAAGAATATCTGAACAAAAAATGAAGAAAGGCAGACAAATTTATGTGCCTCCTGCTGTTAGAACTCACAGTAAGTTTATAATATGAATAAAATTTAAAAAAAAAAAAAAAAAAAAAAATGACCACTTCAATATAAATCTTACTTTTCATGTTAAAAATTGTTCCCCACCTTCTCTCTCTCAAATAAATAATCATTGATTTTGTGAATTACATCAGAGCCAATCATGCTCTAAATATAGTTGTACTTAAATTTTTATGCTTTCTGGGAAGGGGAGCATTACTGTATATTTTACCTTAGTATTAATATGGAACTTAAAAAAAAAAAAAAAAATAACTAGATTTTGTATGGATCATTATTTCTTCCACAATAAGTGTTACCACTTAGGAATGAAAAAATCAGATTTAAAAAAAAATTAGCATTAACCAATGCTGGTAAAAAATTTCAGGATATAGGTCTACTTCTATAAATAAATATATCATTTGACTTTCAGCTTATGATATCTATCCTACTTAATTCATTAATGCTTATTGTAAAATGCAGTATTATAAAAAGAAAATAAAAATCTAGTATTAATTATAGGTTTCTACCCAGTAATGCTCTCCATTTCAAAAATGGGTTAAAAATATTGATAGCTTGTTTTGGGCGGGTGCCAGGTATTGTTATGCAAGGTGGATTTTTATATCCTATTATAATTGTGCTTGTCCTTCCTTTCATTTGTTTGCACGGCCGTTATGTCTTGCCAATACCTGATACATAGTGGACTATTCTGTTTTGATCATGTGGAAAGAGGGGAAAAGACATTATTCAGTTTCAGTTAGAAAGTAAAAGAAGGGAAGATAGAAATGTTTAATGGTTGTTTCAGTGAAATGGAAAAAAGTCAATTTCAAATCTTTTCATGTGTAACGACTTCTTAAAAGAAGGACCGGCATTCAAACTTATGATTATTATTGCAATATTTTGTTCCAGTTGTTAAGCTCAAATATTAACGATGTGATAGAATTTCTACAGATATTTTGTCGTAAAACTCGCCATGTGCTTATTTAATCATTAACTTGAGATTAATTAAGATTCACCAGAAAATGAAAATAGTAAAACCGTAGAATTTTTGCAAGTTAAAACTGGTATAAATTAAGCCAAAAGATACAATATCCAATATTCATCATGGACTAACATTTTATTCACTTTAACTAGATCAGTTTTTATTTTCTCCCAGAGATTTTTCTTAGTTTGAATATTGTTTTCCATTTTCATATACATTTCTTTTTAATGAGGGACCACAATTTTTCTATAGAATTGATATATGGAGAGGCGTCATCTTTGAGAATATGATGAAGCATTGTCTTGTCTGAATATACTCTCTTTAGTTTAAATCTTGGCTATGATCTACACCACTCAAAAATACTTTTTTTTCTGTCTCATGAAACCATCAACCTTGATAGATGAATAAAATTGTCGAGATATCATTGCCTACAGATATGAAATCAAAGGAATTCTTAATATTCTGCATTGTTTCTTATTTAAATTTACAGATCTTGTTGCAAATATTTGCTTGATGATTACCTTTTCAAACAGACTTAAAGCTATCTTGTCACTGTTTTCAATTTTTTTTTTGTTTGTTCAATAGTTGTGCAATTTCCAATATATATTTGAAATTAAAAAAAATATCATTACTATTATATATATTTATGTACAATATAAAATTTTGATCAATTTTATTTTGAAAATATTTACTTGCATTATCTTATATATAATACTGATGATTTTTAAAGGTTGTTTTATTTTTAAGATGTTTTTCTTTAAAGTTGTAACCTTATTAACATTTTTGAAGGTGGATTTAATGAAGCAGCATAGTCTGCTCTGTTTGATTTTATCATTTTTGTCTCTATCCCAAAGGAAATTTTTATAATGTTTGATTTTTGAGCTGAACGTAATTTTTTTTTTTTTTCTTTTCTCAGTTGAAAGCCAGGACATTCCCAATGGCTTGAATGTAGGACATGCTATTGAAACATCACGGAAATCAAATCCTAAGATTTCTATAATGAATCCATTGCAAGCAAAAGTAAGTTTTTTTTTTTTTTTTTTCATATTTTATCCAAATTCTTTTTAAGATATTTCAGTCTGGGGTATCTGCATTAAAATTTTATTCATTTTTTTTAGTAACTACACTCTGATTAAAACTTATAAAATTATCTTTTAGATATAATCTGATTTTCTCATATCATTTCCTGTTTTGTGCAGAATTATTTGAAACAAATCTTCTATTAGATTTTTTATTTGAAATAATCCTTCACAAAAAGGTTTTGAATTTAACAGCTTCATAAACTTATTTTACTGACAGGAATGTTTTACTTTGTTTTATTTGAAAACTGTCTCTTTAAAAAATGGATTTTCCTGATTAAATTTTTTCCCCCCACACTTAGCTTTAATAGTAATTTTTTTTATTTAATAAAACAAGCTTGATCATTTTATCTGAAAATGCAGAACATTCTGCATTGGTGAAAATTATAGGAAGCAATGTGGTTATAATTTTTTGACATTGTGTTTGTGGTTAAATATTCAGTTTATAAAATAATGTCAAGAGATATCTGCTTAGATATTATTTTTATGTAAAGAAGCTGTTCATTTGTTTTGCCATAATATTGTAATCTCCTTTTTTCTTTAAATTGATTGTTTTATTGTTTCAGAGTGAGCTGCAAGTATCAGATTCCTCATCTCAAAGTAAAGCAGAAAGTGACTCTCTTGAAAAAATCAAAATCAAAAGCTTTGCAGAAATAATGGCACAGAAACGACAACGGATCCTGCAACAGCAGCAGAAACCAACAAACAGTTCTGTATCAGCCCCAGTAACCATGTCAGACATGCCTGAAAAAACATCTCTGGATGCAGCTGCTAATACAGCTAAGAAAGGTATGGATATATATATATATATATATAAATTCTCATACTTGTTTTCCCAAAATAAATTAGTTTTTCGCAATGCCTATTCACAAAAGCTACATGATTGAAATTAGAGTATTATTTTCTTGTGTGTGCTTGCTACACACTCTCTCTCTCTATGCAACTTTTCTTTTTTTTTTTTTCTAAGTGTATGAAATTATCCCAAACAAATTCAGTTGATTTGCATAGTGATCATTTTATTGAATTAACTTTCATGTGTATTCAAGCTTTCATCTATAATTTCAAGCATTTCAACCATTAAACCTGATTGATTTTATCATATTTGGTTAATAAGTTTAAAACAAAAGTAAAAACAAATTTTTAAATGATTCTGCTAATTTTGAGTACAAATGAAAACAAGATTTGACTTTTTACTTCATGTAAGTAGTTTTCTTAATTTCTTACCTCTTATAAAAATATGCAATGAGATGGTAAGTTCTATAAATTTTGTATATTCAATATTCTAATATAGAGCTTTTGAAACAATTTAAATTTTTATAACTGTTTATTTTATTATTTTTTTCCAGCACCAACTTTGGCTTTATGGAGAAGGAAGAAGGCTTCAGATTTTGAGAATGATCAAAAGACCAAAATTAAAACAGCTAAGACAGAAATGCAGCTAACAACACCAAGAAAGCAGCTTGTCACTGCTGTAGACAACAATAATGATGGTGCCATATGTGAGGTGTCACAACCTAAAATCCAGCGGATTACTCCACCACAGAATACAAAGACTATTGTGAAAAATTCCAATATTGTACCCACAGTCATGACAAGAAAGACAACTGTATTAGCAGCAGGTGCAAAGTCCACTCCTGAAGTGGTGCAAACCAAACCTAAATTGTCAGAAACAGCTAATGTTCTTCCGAAAGGAAAAGCAAAGAAAGTTGATGTATCGGTTACTTCTCAGCTTCACAAACCGGACCTGAAATGTAAACCTGTGGTTAATCCAAAGAGATTAATAGCCACCTCTTCAGTATTAAATACAACAATTGATTCAAAACCGCTTGTACAAGAGAAGACAATCCCAGGTACTCGTGTTGCAGAGAAACAAGAAGAACAGAAGGTGGATGCTGAAACAAAATCAGCAGCATTACCACAACCAGAGAGAAGTTTATCAAAGTAAGAGAGAGACTTGATATTTAAATTTGATTAAACTAACAACTTGTAATTAATAATCAATGTTTTCATGCAAAACAATAACAAATGAAATCTTATCTTTTAAATTAGTTTTTACAATTGCATTGGACTTTTTTTCTTTTCAATTTAATAATGTTGATAAGCTAAATTTTATTTATTTGAATTAACACTAATACTTTGAACACTGATATTTTTGCTTTCAAAGTTGTTTTGCTTTTTTTTTTTTTTTTTATTGATATATGCCATGAAATATTTGTAGTTCATTTTCTTGCATTTAGAACATCATATATTTACAAAGCTTTGTAAAATATTACTTGTACTTCTGAAAAGGAAATCATGTAATTTGTGCAGATTGGCAGACGTTTTGAATGTTACTCATATTTGCAGAAAATTAACAGTATTGAAAATTTGTTCCAACACTGCACCAATATAAAAACCTTACTTTCAAACTACAACTAAACTGCATGATTTGTTTATTGTATGATCTTAGTAGAAAACCTGTCCAATGGAGATTATTGTGCTTAAGGAGTTAATTACTAGTCTTAAGATAATCTAAACATAAAGTTGTTAAATTATGTGTAAATCTTATCTTTGACCAGCTTTTGCATTTAATGTAGATATTAATCAGTATTTTTTTAAGTGATTGCTTTAAATTTTTTCATTGTATTTCTTTTAAATATTGCTTAAAATGTAATGCAGTCTTTGAATTTAAAGTCTATATATAATTCACTTGTAATAGGAGACAGTTTTCCAAGATGGTTAGATTGTGAGTGATAATTCCCTGCTTGCTTTTCAAAATATTTTATTAGCATTGTTACATTCTTGTTGGCATTTAAGGATGAAAATAAGTTACAAACTTCAACTAGTAAATAATTGTAATACTAGATATTTTAAAATTATTTTCCCAGAAATGATCTTCAAATGTCTTTGGATAGAAATTCCATTTTGTTTCTCTCTTTCTTTTTCTTTCAGTGTTTCTGATAGTATTTTTGATGATAATGAATTATTTGACACTGGTGGTGTGACCCACGTTGGTGCTAAAGATGATGATGACGACGACGATGTGCTGCGACAGTTGGAAGAAATGTTAGCCAGCTGATGATCATCACATTTTATTTTTTAAAAAAAAAAAAAAAAAAATTTCTTTTTTTTTTTTGTTTTCCTTTGCCTTCATCCATGCCAACCATCACCGGTTCATTCCATTATTATCTGTCCATCATGTTTATTTGCGATTATACATTTCATTCACTCATTGTAAATACCATTAAGCCCTGCTGCTGTTGTTGCCCTTGACAACACAATTGCTGCTGTCAAGATTGGATCATTACTCCTCACAGATTCTAATAAATCTCTATATTTGTGAAACAAATTTTTGTTTTTGTTTTATGTTGAAAATCAATGAGTTTTCATTTAAGAATCAATGTTGCTTGCAGCTGTACAAAATAAAAATTATAACTGTGCAATTTCTTTTTTTCCCCATTCTTTAAAACTGTTTCATATATTGACAACACTCATTATATATATATATATATATATATATATATATATATATATATTAAACTCTGACGTGGTAAGCTTAAACATTTGAAGGATACTTTTTAAAAGTATCTGCCTTAGATTTTTTAATATTTTTTTAAATACTGTTTCTATGCTAATTGCCTTTTTTTTTTTTTTTTTGTCCTGTAAAACTGATATAGAATTTAATATTCTTGGACCACACATGGACTTCTCATTAGGCTGTTCACTATATATATATATATAAAATGTTCAAAATCATAACATGCATATGTTATTATTTTGAATAAATATTATTTGCTTTACTCTGTATTGAGCACTCTTTAAAAATAGTGTTTTTGGTATTGAAATTTTATTCTGTCTGGACCAGCCCTGTACTTGGAGGTATTTATTATATATATAATTAATACAAGTAAAAGGTTTGTCACTTAGCTGATATCATCTTCAGCATCCCTATTCCAGAGTTTATAGACAGACCCATCCGTCTGCTTGTAAAGGTGTATCTGATTGGCTGCTTATAATTTTTTTTTTTTTTTATATGCACTTATTAGTGCACGTTTAATCCCCCCCCACACACACACTGTATGTGCGCATATATTCCTTAAGTTTTTGTTGTTTTTTTTTAAGTATTGTGCCCCAAGCAAGGCGTGAAGCCACTAGGGATGCAGGGGGTTGCGGAAGATTTGGAGCGAGATAATAAGAGTGATAGGAGAAAGGAAGAGAGAAGGATAGTGGGTAGATCAAGGTAATTGGAGATGTCGATTGACATTACATTTGAATAGTTGGAGATTATAGCTTTCAGGAAACAGTAATTGGGGAGGGTGTTCCACTGGCGAGAGGTGCGGTATGAAGCTAGTGGAGTAGAAGAGGCGGCTACATTTGAAGGTTTCTCTGATGTAAGGGTGGGGCGGGATGCCAGCCTCATAGGGCGCTTAATTCATGGAGTCTGGGAACCAGAGAGAGCATCTCATCAGAGCAGTTACCATGGAAGTATTTGTAGAAAAAAAAAAGACAGAGAGAGCGATATAGCGGCGTCTGTGAGAAGGTGACTGCAGACAAGATGCTAGATCAGGGCCAATTAGATTACATATCCGTCTCTGGATCTTGTCAAGAACTCCGAGGTAAGCAGAAGGTGCTTCAGCCCATATATGGCAGCAATACTCCATTGAGCTTTATCAAGATGACCTCAAATGGTCAAATTGGTAATGGCTTGCTTTAACTCTAGGAGTGGTTTCCCTGATGGCAAATAGGGTGCAGGTTCAATTCCTGTCAGGTAACATTTTTAAGGACTTCTTAGTCTTGTTTGATTGTTATTTGCATTGTTTAAGAACATGAAAAAATGGTGTTAAAAACGGTGATATCAACTGAAGTGTGTATTCACTCAAATGTTTCTAGCAATAAATATAGAAATAAGAAAAAAAACATTTAAAAATTATGTAAATAAATGTCTTTATTTCAAACAATGAATTTTCTTCATCTTGTCAAAATTATAGGTTTAGAAAAAAAAAAAAAAAGTTAAAGTATATAATAAATTAATATAAAAAAAAAACTTAATGCAGTGAAATTTTATAAACAAAACTGATTGATTCAATATTTTTTTTTTTTTTTTTTTTTTTTTTTTTTTTTCTTTCTGGAATTTTACTTTTTAGCAAATAAAGTTAGTGTCAGAATTAAATAAAAAATTGTTCAAGGGTAACATTACAGTCATTTGGAAAGTTTCCAAACACTTTACTTCTGGTTCAATGGGTTGCAAATATTACTGGCTTGTAGTGATTGAGCTAATGCATTTCCTCACTGGAATCAGAAGGTGATGTCTAGGCTCAGATAAAAAAAAAAAATGTAGAATTTAGAATACTGATCTTCAAAGCAAGTTACGTTTATGCAACTGTCCTAAGCCATCCATTGAGATCAAGAGCCAGGAAAGCTGAAAAGCCAGACGGAGACTTCTTGCTAACCAAAGGGAAGATATTTGTTGTGAGAGAAGATGAGTAGCATCAACGATGCCTGGTGAATCTATGAAATAAATAAAAATACCTGTTTATTGGAACAAACATGACTTTCTAATTGAGACAATATTTTGAGACTTTTCTCCTTGTGCAATACCCTGTCTTCAGTTTAATTGTTGAATACAATGCAACAGAAAAACCTCCCACAGGTAATTGTGGGAGGTATTTCTGCTACACTCTGTATAAAATCTTAATACTTTAATCTACAAGGCCATAGTTTATAGCAGCGTTTCTCAATCTTTTTTTTTTTTCCTTGTGGAACCCTTGAAATAGTTTTCAAGTTTCAGGGAACACCAGCATAAAAAAAATTAAATCATGATTAATATCTGTCTTATATTTTTTATTGTAGTTGACTTGGTGAATATCATGCATGTGTCCTGTACTCGTGACACACACACACACGAATCCTTCACCATGACTAATCAGTGAAGGCAGTTTCACATTGGCGCCATATAGACATCAGTAAATACATTCCCCATGATAATATAATTTTAAATAATATAAGAGGTTGAAGCCTTTTTTATAATAACCAAGAATTTTCCAACACCATGCAATTCATGTATAGTAAAATTACTAATATAAAATTATACAAAAATTACTCGAATGCATTATCTCATTCATCACTGTTTCTTGCGGAACCCCTAGTGACATCTTGTGGAGCCCTAGGGTTTCGGGAAACACTGGTTTAGAGGCTGAAAGCATTTACTATCATTACTTATGGGTTTATGCTGTCCGTTGAGAGGGAGAGTTGCCAGCCGCGCATCATAATGAATGGTAAAAGAGAGAGAGTTCTCCTTGGCGGAAGGGAAAAGTTGATCCGTTAGCCTGACGTAGGCATATTTTCTCGCAAGTGTTACCTTACTCGCCCACGCAAGTGAAGATCTCAGCCAACCACATACATAGGAATCATGCTTTCTTTTTTTCATTTCTCACCATGTCATTAATTTCACCTTCTGCTCTATTGTAAGCAGTTGAGGTCCTTTGCCAGTTTCTCTGCACGCTGATGTAAATGATAACCAAAACACGATGGGGTGTGATCTGTCCGGACGATGAAAAGCTGATTGGGGGGGTGTTGGCTAACTATGTAAATGACCAACCTCGATACATTTCGTGACTTCCTTACGACGACTATTGTTTTTACAAATTGATAAGTTTAGCGGTTCTACAGAAATCGTTAGCAGAAACAACATCACCAATGCCAATTCATCAACTTGTTAAACTCTATGGAAGCAGGTTTGTGCGTCTTGTGACGTCGCCCCCCCCCCCTGGTGGCAGCGTCGACTCTGTCGTTCGATCTGGTTAAATGGCGCCAACTGTGACGTGGCGTGGTCCAGGGTTCTGGTCCTATGGTCACGACACCAGATGTGACGCTCTTTGCACGGCGTCAGCTGTTCGTTCCTGGCTGCTCCAAGTGTGACGTTCTAACCCTTTGGTTAGATGAATACCAACCTCGCCCGTTCCCAACTCGCCCAACGCCTGGTTACTAGGGTAACTGCACTGATCTCTGGTCTGCCTACCCACGTTGTGATTAGATCTTAGACAGACGAGATCAAACAGGGATTGGGGCCGTATGCAAGCTGAGTTCAACGGGGGTGATAACACACAAGAAAAAGAAAAACTCACAAGGTCAAAAATTATTGAAGAAAAAAATAACAACTTTTTTATATCTAAATGTTCGTTACAAAGATTATTCCTACCTCCCGACCCGTTTTGTGGACTGTGGCGCAAGCTTCTACCATACAACTTTAAGGCTTGAGTTGCCTACTCTCTAGAAATTTGCATTTTTCGGGGTGTGGATTGGTTTTCGACACTGGGCGCTGATCTCTACCTGTCGTTCGTGGCTGATTTTTCTCGCCATCAGTGCGGCGAATCGACTTCTTCTCTTCGGCTTCGGTTGGGGCGAGCTTATTCACTTGGCTTGAGTTGGACGAGCTTATTCACTTGGCTTGAGTTGGGCTGCTTATTCACCGCTTGGATTGGACTTGAGTTATTCACTTCGGGCTTGAGTTGGACGAATTTATTCACTTCGGCTTGAGTTGGACGAATTTCTTCTTAGGCTTGGATTGATTCCAACTTCTCCGGCGCAACTGCAAGTTAACTTCTTCTTCGTCCGGCGCCTTCCCAACTCCAACAACTTCTCTTGACTTTCGGGCAATTTCTTCACTTGACTTGGGTTGGATGAATTTCTTCATTTCGGTTCTCTTGCCCGCAAAAGGAATGAATGAGGCCCGGGCCCAGCTCAAGCTCCCTCGCTGTCCTTGGCCCAACTCCAATTTTCTGTCGGTTGGGGTCCTGCTTTTATTGACGCCGTAACAAACTGGGGTGGGTCTGTCGGCGCCAGGATTTTCTTGATAATTCTAAAGTCGTATTATTTCTGATTAGGGATTTCCCATTATCGCTCTTACTTTCACTCCTACTTCCTTACTGTGCCTCTGGGGGGGAGGCGCATACCCTTTCCCCTGGTCCCTCGTGTGGCAGGTGACCGCTCTCGACCAATGGGGTCCTGGTCGGTCATCTTTCCTCCTCCCTCACACATCACGTGACCGCTCTCGGCCAATGAGACTCTGGTCGGGTGTGT